AGTGCTTAACCACTACGCCACTAGGGCTCCTGAAACCTGGATAGAATAAGGTATATACTTGGGCTTCTATCACTTGAAACAGAAAAAACATGTTTATTATATATTAAATCCTCAAACTGTAGTTGGGTCTATTTTGACTCTCCACTATGTTCCCACTGGTCTGTTTTTCTATTCTTCTCTAGAACTAAACTGTTTCAACTTCTTTACATTTTAATATTTTAGGCCTAATGTCCCATCATTACAATTGACACAGCCTTTCAGTTAGATTTACCTAGAGAAACACTGATAAGGAGTAGGGGTAGGAGTTGTCCTGGACTCAAATACTAGCCTCAAATTCTAGTTCCTATACAGGTACTCCTTAACTCCAATTTTAAGTTAATAAATTAATTTGGGATGATAAATCAATCTTTTACAAATTTGGTCAGCAAGAGTCAGGGCTTATTTAGAGTCTTACTTACTTGGTCAAACTAATAAAACTGGAGTTTCTAGATTTAAAAATATCCTGAATTCCAGACTATGGATCACTGTGAGCATACCTCAGTACCTGGCCCAAGCTGCCAGCAGGCTAGCCAGGTGCTCTTTTATGATCTTTTTTAGCTGCAACAAATGGAACATGTGTGGGAAAGCCCAAGATTCTACTAAGACATTACGATGCCATAGTTTGGCTCATGTAAACAAATGTAAAGATTGGGGGGAAGGAGGGCAGTATGGGAAGTAATGCTGAGGACAACATCAAGGCCAGGTGAAAGGGACACTAAGGAAGGGATTAAAGAGACAAATTCTATCAAAGTAATAATGATTAAGTGTATGGATTTCAGACTGACACTGCCTGGTTTGAATCTCTGCTCTGCTACTAACTAGTACCTACCCAAGTTAATTCTTCTGTGTCTCAGTTTACCTATTATAACTGAGTAAAATGGGGATAGTGACAGTACCTGCTTCTTAGGGTTTTTGTAAGGATAAAATTAGTTAGTTCTCATAAAGCACTTACAACAGTGCCTGGTATACAGAAAGTACTAGGTAAGTGACTGCCATATTATCATGGTCTAAAATTTTAAGGTATGAAGAACTTGTCTGTAGATCTATTTGCAAAGTTTCTAATGGACATCTCTTAGGTGAGTAGAATTTTGACCAAACCAATTCCATACTCATAAATATAGCTAGTTATCACCCTTTTTTGCTTGTACCAGGGTCATCTACATTTGAGCTATAATTCTGAACAGAAAGTGGGCAGAGGGTATATTTAAGCTGTGATTAAAGAGAATCTTCAAATTACTGATTTAGGTAGTATTCATTCTTCAGAGAGCTTCCTACTTTGTGCAGTAAACTGATAGGTGCTTTGTGGCATACAAAGATTAATAAAACAGATTTCACCTCTCTGGGAGACTATAAACTAAGAGTAGAAAAAAGATATGGGCATCAATGAGAGGTCCACAATGAGGGAAATAGCACTCACATAAGGAGTTGGGGATACGGATGAGCTTGGGACAATCTCAAAGAGGTAACAGCATTTGAGCATTTTTAGTTGACACTTGAAGTAGATGGTGTGTTTTAAAGATAATTTTCATCACTGGCAACAGAATAAAGCATCCAAGAAATGGAGGGTTTGGGAATCAAAGGGAAGATTCTTGGGGTTGCAATAGTCTAGTTTGATGCAGGAAAATGGTAAGAGAATAATGAAAGATCTGGCTACAAAGGTAGGTTGGGGATATATTGAGGAAGTTGGATTTCATTTTATGGTGAGCACCATAGATTTTTGAGCAGAAAAAGAATGTGTAAGTACTGAACAAGGTGGATTATTAGTGGGAAGTTTACTATAATTATGGGTGAGAGGCATACTCAGACATCATCCATAGTTCCTAATGTATAATTAAAATGTATTTTTTTCTTTTATAAAATATGGGGAATCTTTAATAAAATACATGCACAATAAATAATTCATTTTTGAAAATGCTCATTAGGTAGCTTCATGCCTTTTCAATAGGAGAAGCCACAGTATCAGGGAAATCAGAAGGCAATCTCAATAACTCTTCTACTTCTTCTTGCAAAGCCTCTGCTTTTTCAAGTAACAGCATCTATAATAAAAAATCAAGACATGGAACAAAAATATGCATTGCTAGAGAACTGCCAACATTTTTACCACCATTTATTAGACACCTAAATTCTTATACATCAGTAATCTGGACATTAAAAACTAATAACGAGACTGAAAAATGGGCACTTAAGAAAAGCGATTATAGCAAATGAGGCTGACGCATTTAGTTAAAGCCATTTTAGCTGACCATGGCTTTTAGTATACCAAAAATAAAGGAGCTTTAATACTCTCACAGATGTTTTACTGAAGACTCAGCCACTTAAAAATTAACTTTTAATCTATAAAGTCTAAGACAATTTTGCAAAAATTTAATTACCCCCTGAAAATGTTATATTTTATATAGGCACTTTATTATTCCTCAGAATGTAATATACTATCTTCTAAAAACCTATTCACATTTAAAAGAAAAGTTTTATTCAAGATCGTAAAGTTAACATGTTTAATTAGAAAAAACAAAAGCATTTCTAAACATGGCACATAGATGTCAATGAATATTTAGAAATAAAATGCTGGTATTTGTATAAGATCGTGAAGTATTCGTATTACTTCTGTTACAAAACTGTCATAATAAAAAGTTTAGAAAAATCACAGAGGAAAAAATCATATAAAAGAAAGCAAAAGTGAAAAAATAAAAACACTCTCAACCAATTTGATACAAAGCATAGCATTAGTATAATCTATTGCCATCAAGTAGAATTCCAATTCATAGCGGCCCTACAGGACAGAGCAGAACTGCCCCATAGGGTTTCCAAGGCTGTAATCTTTACAGAAGCAGACTGCCATGTCTTTCTCCCGCAAAGTGGCTGGTGGGTTCAAACTGCCAACTCTTCAGTTTGCAGCTGAACACTTAACCACTATGCCAACAGGGCTCCCTGCATAGCATTACATAGCATTACATAAAAGAGATTAAAATGTAATTAGGTTAGCTTTCTAGTAGCTGAGGTAATGGTGACCATGCAGAACAAATCTCCTAACACATCCTCTAAAAACAATACAGACCAACAAGAACAACAAATAAACTACACAGAACCCATGTATCAGCATTACTAGAATACAGAGAAACACCATCAACCTCAAATTACTTGCAGTTAAAAAAAACAAAACACCAATTTCCAGTAGAGTCATTTCTCAAGTTCCCACCCCATGTGTTTGTGGAGATCAAAGTGTGGTTGAGAAAAAAACCACATAGATGAGAGAAGAGGGGAACAGAGGGCCTAAGATTAAACTAAAATCACCTTCAGAGAGAAAGGCTACTCCAAGTGCAAAAATGCTGAAAAAGAATCTTGGTAACTTGGGGGTCATCTACATCAACTGACACAACATAGTTCATAAAGATAAAGTTCTGCATTCTACTTTGATGAGTAGTGTCTGGGGTCTTAAAAGCTTTTGAGTGGTCATCTAAGATACATCTATTGGTCTCTTACCATCTGGAGCAAAGAAGAGTGAAGCAAATTTAAGACTCAAGGGAGCAAACAGTCCAAAGGACTAATGGACCACATGAACCACAGCCTGTACGATCCTGAAACCAGAAGAATTAGACGGTGTCTGGCTACCACTACCGACTAGACTGCTCTGACTGGGACCACAACAGAGGGTCCTGGACAGAATGGCAGAAAAATTGTAGAACAAAAAACCAAATTTACAAAAAAGACCAGACTTACTGGTCTGACAGAGACTGGTGGCCCTAAGACATCCTTCTGAACTGGAACTGCCGCCATTCCCGGAGACAAGCTTTCAGCCAAGTCATAGACAGATCCATAAAAGAAACAATTTAACACCTGAGAGGAACGTGCTCCTTAGAACAATCAATTATATGAGATCAAAAGGGTGACATTTGCCCAAAAGCAAAGATGAGAAGTCAGGAAGGATAGAAAATCAGGACAAAAGGAAATGATGAATCTAGGATGGAAATGAGGAGAGTGCTGACACATTGTGGGGAATGAAGCCAATGTTATGAAACACTTTGTACAAGCTATTGAATGGGAAAATAATTTGCTGTGTAAACTTTCCACCTAATATCACAATAAAAAATTTTTAAAAATTAAATGCATATGAATACTTCATATTACATATTTACACTAGCAATTTTTTCCCAATAAACTTTTTGTGATGTTGATTCATATAAATTTATCATTATTGTTCTATAGCCCAACAAGGTATGAAAATTTAACCATTTTATTCATGATGATCATTTAGGTTTGTTTATTTCTGACTCTTTGGATACTAGAATACCCTAGTATGTGTATCCTTAAAAAAAAAAAAGAATCTTGGTAGATTAATGCATTGTTAATAGAAAGGAACTTAAAGTGTGTGGGGGGCTCTAGGAGGCAGCCTTAGCAATGCTTCTGGGTTAGAGAATAGGTAAAAACAGAGAGGTACCCTTCGGAGGCTGAATAGTGACAGAAAAAGACAGAAGAGGGGAAATTTTAGTATCCTGCAGGACAAAAAAGGGGCCCTGGCGGTGCAGTGAGTAAGCGCTCAGCTGCTAACCAAAAGGTCCAGGGTTCGAATCCATCAGCTGCTCTATGAGAGAAAGCTGTGGCAGTCTTGGAAACCCTACGGAGCAGTTCTACTCTGTCCAAAAAGGTTGCTATGAGTCGGAATCTACTAGATGGCAATGAGTTTCAGGGCAGGAAAAAAGGAAATTAAAAAAAAAAACAACAAAGGACATATGATGGATTGAACTGTGTCCCCCAAAAATATGTGTTGTAAATACTAACCTCTATGCCTGTGGTTATAATCCCATCTGGGAATGGGTTGTCTTTGTCACGTTAATGAGACAGGATTAGTGCATGGTGTGTCTTGAGTCAATTTCATTTGAGATATAAAAGAGATTAAACAAGCAAGGAAGAGAGCAGCAATGAGGGGAAGAGAGGTGCCAAGCCATAAGAAGATTGCCCAGGAGCAGAAGCTCAGAAGAGACAAGAAACTTCCTCCAGAGCCAACAGGGAAAGAAAGCCTTCCCCTAGAGCCAGCATCCTGAATTTGGACTTCTAGCCCTCTGGACTGTGAGAAAATAAATTTCTGTTTGTTAAAGCCACCCACTTGTCGTATTTCTGTTATAGCAGCACTAGATGACTAAGACAGACCCCTCCTTGCGCCCTCCCTGAGACAAAAGTCATCCAATAAAGAAACCACACTTCACTACACTGTCAGAAGAGAGAGCTCGAGTTTGTAGTCTCATAACCTACTCCAGATGGCCAGCCCTGTCCAAGAAACACAGAGGCATACACAGTTCTCATTTTTACAAAGCTACTATATAAAAAGAAAACAGCAAATGAGAATCAAAGCACTTCAGCACATAAAAGTTTCCCTCTCTTGGGTGGAAGTGAGGGAGAAAAGAGAGTCACTGCCTAGGGGGCAGTGAGTTTCTGCTAACTGTGATGAAAAAAATCCGGAAACAGATAGGTGATGGTTGTACAACATGATAAATGTAATTAATGTCACTGAATTGTACATGTAAAAAAATGTTGAAATGGCAAGTGTTTTGTTATATATATTTCTACCACAATAAAAAAAGAAAGAAAGAAAGAATGAAACAAACAGCATACTTGGAATCAAGAGGCACAACCTGAGTTCTAGTTTAAAAAAAAAAAAAAAAAAGTCCCTCCCTAAAAGCAAACCACGAAGCAGAAAAATCTGTAACATAACACTCAAGATGGAATTAAAGATTCTCAAGTAAGTATTTGGCGATATGAAAAAAAAAAAAAAAAGAACAACACACCCTGAATAAGAAGTCTCCAAATTCAGAACAGAAATAAACCAAAAAAACAGAAAAAAATGAACTAAAAGTTGATTGAGCTCAGGAAAGAAATGGAAGAAAAAGGCAAAATCATATCAAAAAGAAAAACTAAATATAAGTGTCCAAGGAAGAACAGATTTAAGTAAAAACTTAATTAGGTTCATTGAAGAAGGGCAGGAATACAAACAAGATAATGACAACAAGATAAAGAAAGAAGTAAAAAAGGTCAGAGAGATTGAAATGTAAGATGGACAAAGAGAGAGGCCCTAAAGAAAACAAACAATGGATAAAACTAGTATTTAAAACTTAAACTCAAGAAAACTTGCACAAATAAAAGTCGGTGAAGATATAGCCTAAAAAAACTATTTGAATTTAAAGAAAGAGAAAAGAGGTTAACGTTTTACATACTCAAAAAAAAAAAAAAAAAGTCCTAAGGATGGGAAAGAAAGAATTAAAATGGAATATAAACAGAATCTAACTGTGTTTCAAATGAATAACATAACAACACTGAAGCAGGGAAAGAAAAGAAAAAAAAAAACCCGAGAAACATCTTAGCATATTATTTCAATTTTATCTCAGACTAAAGACAAAAAGAATTATAAAAACTGAACTCTAGATAGTAAGTTTGCTTTTTGCACCTGTATAATTTGATTTTACTTACTTTGAATTTACTTTGTGTATTCTAGGACTAGGGGCCCTGGTGGGGCAGTGGTTAAAGTGCTAGGCTGCTGACCTAAAGGTCAGCGGCTGGAACCCACCAGTCGCCCTGCTGGAGAAAGATATGGCAGTCTGCTTCCATAAAGATTTACAGCCTTGGAAACCCTATAGGGCAGTTCTACTCTGTCCTATAGAATCGCTATGAGTTGGAATTGACTTGATGGCAGTGAGTTTGGTATAGTTTTGGTATTCTAGGACTGAGAAAAAGATAAATATTTTGAAGAAAATAGGAGCCAGGTTTTTCACTGTTAGAGAAAGGAACTAAAAATATGAAAAGAGGGAAAACTATAATGAATCCAATAGTGTGGTATTAGTGTGGTGGACTAGAGATGACTGGGAATTCTTCGACACTCCTCCCATTGAGAGGTGGGTTCTAACTCTCCCCTTGGATCCGTGCTGGCCGTGGTGATTCACTCCTAACCAATAACAAGTGCTGTGGAAATCACACTGCATGATTTCAGTGCTTGGTTAAAAGAAGCTTTACAGTTTCTGCCTTGGTTTCTTAGAATGATTGCTGTCTGAATGCACCCCTACTAGATGACTAAGATAGACCCTTCCTTGCAATCATGCTATAAGAAACTAAAGCTACATGGAGATTATAAATACATAAATAAGAAGCTCACAATGTTTTAAAATAAATTATATCAGACTGGAATGAAAGGGACAGATTCAGTGCAAAATAAAAAAAGGCCTTTGGATCCATGAACTTTCTAAGGGCAGGAAGCAGGCTGACAAACTACCCAGCTGCAAATATGGGGCATTTCTTATGGAAAAGGAAGAATGACTCAGTGGAGAGAACCAAAAGTCAGGAAGAATCATTCCAAGGGAGTAGAGCTGTGTCCTAATCATGGAACTGGCCACATGTGCTTGACTGAGTTTTAGAATAACTGCTATGTGTCTCCCATTTTCCCTCTTCCTGAATAGGAGTGTACTGTGGTTATCCTAGCTCTGTTTCACCATTGTATGTGGTGTCTTTTCAATTCACAGATCTTCAGACTGAGAGGAACTGTACTTGTGAAATTGCACTTGAGGAACATTACCTGCACCTGTACTTGATTTAGAAGAAATACTAGACCCAGAACCTAAGTCTGATGCTATAATAGAATAAATCTTTTGAGGGTGAGTATATTTTGAATGTGGGAGAAATGTAAATAATTTGTGACTATAGGACAGACATTAAAGATGACTGCAAATTATCTGACACTCTTCTCATGCAGACGAAACCCACTGCCATCAAGTAGATTCTGACTCATAGTGACCCCATAGGGTTTCCAAGGCTGAAAATCTCTACGGAAGCAGGCTGCCACATCTTTCTCCCACAGATCAGCTGGTGGTTTCGAACTGCCGACCTTTCAATTAGCAGTCGATCACTTTAACCACTGTGCCACCAGGGCTCCTTTCTCATGTAGAGGTAGTATCTAATTCTTTTTCCTTTGAATCTGGGCTGGTTTTAATGACCTAGTAACTAACAGTATGCATCGGAAGTAACACTGCACAACTTCTGATGTCAGGTCAGAAGATTTCTTTCATTTTCTGCCTTGGCCTCTTGAAATGCGCACTCTCAGAACTCAGAACTATGAGATACCATGAGATACCCAAGCCATATGGAAAAGCCATAATGTAGTTGCTCCCACTGACAGCCCCAGATAACACCTAATTATTAACTGCCAGCCATGGAGTGAGCCATCTTGGACATCCAGCCCATTTGGCCTTCAGATGACTAGGGATCCCAACTGAGAACCACCTAGGTGAACCCTTCCAGAATTCCTAATCTACACGAACAAGCAAAATAAAATGGTTGTTTTAAGCCATTAAATTTTGGGGTAAAACTTTGTTATGCAGAAATATATAACTAGAAAAATTAGAATTGGAATTATCAATATGTGTTCATGACCTTTAATATATTTATACATAAGCATAGATAAATGCATAGCTATAGGTGGGCTCTGTCTGCTGAGAGAACCTAGAATCAATATTATGTCTCTAACAATAAGCACATCTAGCTCCAAAAACTTGGTTTCTAAATATCATCTTCACTGAAAGGAACTAGGGCTCTTTGGAAAAATAATTTGATGCCATGGTGAAGGCAAGGGAAGGAAAAGATGAACCTGCAACATCTTGTACCAGAGTGCCAGTTATTTATTCATTGCCTTTTGGCTCCAAATCTATCCTTCATTGTCCTACTTGAGATACTAGAGTTAGATCCTGTAAACGTTTTTCCTTTATAGGCTAGTACATTGTTAAGCATTCTCAGTAGAGGGCACTGGAGGGGCTCTGTAGGAGGAAGGGTTTCTCTTCCTGGTTCTGGCTCTTTATCTTATTGCTCCTACAGTGTCTGTCTGCTATGCCAGACACCCAGTGGTGCTCATTTCCAATGAGTTTCAACAGTACCCCTGCGGACAGCTTTCTGACAAGTTCCATAAATACTTGTGCTGGCTTCCGAGCAAGTTCAACAGCACACTCCAAGTAGCTTCTGGGAAGTTTTGCTGGCACCTCAGTGAGTAGTTTCCTGCTTTCCAGCCTTGGATGCAGCACCTCAGTGAACCTTTTTGTCATCCAGTGAGCCACAATCACATCCTCTCCAGTGAAGTCTGAATCCCATCTGTCATGGGTTGAATTATGTCCCCCCAAAAATGTGTATATCAATTTGGCTGGGTCACAATTCCCAGAGTTGTGTGGTTGTCCTCCATTTTGTGATTGTAATTTTATGTTAAAGAGGATTAGGGTGGGATTGTAACACCACCCTTACCCAGGTCACATCCCTGATCCAATGTTCCCTGGGGGTGTGGCCTGCACCACCTTTCATCTCTTAAGAGATAAAAAGGGAAGAAAGCAGAGAGGAGGGAACCTCATACCACCAAGAAAACAGTGCCAGGAGCAGAGCGCATGCTTTGGACCTGAGGTTCCTGCGAAGAAAAGCTCCCAGACCAAGGGAAGACTGATGCATCACAAGGACCTTTCTCCAGAGCCGACAGGGAGAGAAAGCCTTCTCCTGGAGCTGATGCCCTGAATTTGGACTTGTAGCCTACCGAACTGTGAGAGAATAAACTGCTCTTTGTAAAGCCATCCACTTGTGGTATTCCTGTTAGAGCAGCACTAGATGACTAAGACACCATCCTTAGGGGATAGTGTGTGTGTGTGTGTGTGTGTTGGAGTGGGGTGGTAAAACCTCTCTCAAATTTATCCTTCCTTGTATACAGTTCTACTTACCCCCTAGAAGCCAACCTCTATTACTAGTTATTCATTCTTCATATTAAACTTTGCTGTTCAAATTACTGTGTGGTTTCTGTCTTGCAACTGGACCCTGACAGATACGGCCAAAACGTAAGAAAGTACTCAAAAAATGATGGGGACAGGTAAAAGAGATACAGAATCTAGCTTGCAGGAGCTCCTGCTGGCCAAATCTGAAACCACTTGAGCATCAAAATAAGTAATGATAGTAACAGATTATAACTTACTGAATAAGTATGAACCCATGTGTCCATACTGGTACAAACAAATGGCCAAATAAATGCAGAAGGAAAAGCTCTTTCTCATAGAATGCCAATAAATAAATATAGAAGGAACGATGGAGTTAGAAAATCGTAATTTGACAAACATTGTAGAAATAACCGAGTCAAGCAAAAATCATCAATGGACGCTAAAATGAGTGCATGAAAGTTTAATGAAGAAGAGTATACCTACATAGTCTTAAAGAATCCACCCATAAAATATTTACCAATTACAAAGAGAAGAAATAATAACTTTACAATGAAGAAACTTGGCAGACAGCACCTTCCAAATGATCAAGTTAATATCAGTGATGTAAGTGACACCATGTGGCTCCTGATATACCAAGAATGCCACAATAGCATTTTTGTAGTATTCCTGCCAAAAATGCATAACCTCAATACAATCACAAGGAAACATCAGACAAATCCAAACTGAGGGACAGTCTTCAAAATAACTGACCTGTACTCTTCAAAAAAATGTCAAGATTGTAAATTCGAAGACAGATTGAAGAACTGTTACATATTAAATAAACGTAAAGAAATATAACAACTAAACACAACATGTGATCCTGCACTGGACCTTGACTATAACTTTTTTGTACTATAAAGGACATTATTGGGACAACTGGTAAAACAGGAATAAAGTCTGTAGATTAGATAATGGTATTTAATCAATGTTAACTTCCTGATTTTGATCACTGTACTGTAGTTATGTAAGAGAATGCCATGGTATTTTCAATCACCTCATATGCTTGTGAAAGCTAGACAATGAATAAGGAAGACCAAAGAATTGATGCCTTTGATTACAGTGCTGGCAAAGAATATACCACAGACTTCCAAAAGAATGAACAAATCTGTCTTGAAGAAGTACAGCCAAAATGTTCCTTAGAAGCAAGGATGGTAAGACTTCTTCTCATGTACTGTGAACATGTTATCAGGAGGGGCTCTGCCCTGGAGAAGGACATTGTGCTTGGTAAGAAAGAGGGTCAGTGAAAAAGAGGAAGACCCTCTATGAGACGGACTGACACAGTGGCTGCAACAATGGGCTCAAACAAAGCAACGATTGTGAGGATGGCACAGGACCGGGCAGCATTTCGTTCTGTTGTACATAGATAGGGCTGCTGTGAATTGGAACCGACTCAATGGCAACTAACAACATTACAACAACGTGTCCAAAAATAGAATAATCTAATTTTTGAGGTTGTAACCTCTTTGCCAACGAAGGCGTTCCAAGGTGAGAAGACCAGCTATTGGGAATGCTGAGGAAAGGACTTCTGTGAAGAGGGTGCCAGGAGGTAGAACTCAACAGTTTTAAGGTTTTGTTGTACTACAGCGAATCGTTGAAAATGTCTTTATTTTTTAAAAGGTTCTTTTTCTCTTTTTAGCAAGCCTTCTTTCACAACAGATGCATCATTTTTATCCATATATTGTGAGTATATACTTCTGTGCCTATAGAATGTAAACTGTTATGCAATGTTAAATGTTTTTATGTCTAAAGTATAAATGAAAATACTATAAAATATTATAAAGGTTAAAAAATTGTTTGCTTACTTTTGCTGATGAAACAATCTGCTTGGCCTGGCGTCTTGATAAATGATCAACTGTCTTTATTAGCACCTCAGGATTTGCATTAGCTAAGTGCATTAGACTTTTGTATCCAGCATTGTATAATTGTTTTGCTCGACCCTGAAAGTGTTAAAAAATCAGTTAAGATCACAGTTTGGGATGAAGAAAAAAATTAAATGTCTTACTCAAGGGAAAAAATTTCAAATGCAGGAGATAGGAATAAACCAAGATAATAAAGTAAGTATGAGGAGATAACACATGAGAATTCTGAGGAATTTTTAAAGATGCATTTGGGTGGCTTCAGTCTGTTTTGTCTAAGTCAACTGATGCGTGCTGCCGTTAGGGAATGAGAAACCCATTAAAGCCCTTAGGTTAGTGGCCAAACTTCAGATCCCTAAGCAGAATGTTCTAGTCCAATGTCCTTAAAATGGTCTCATTATCTATTCAGGGGACCACTGTTTGTTTGTTTGTTTTAACAAGCAGTATTATTCCCCTGATTCAAAGACTGAATAATGGAGAATGCAAATTGAGGGTTGGTTGAAAATAGAAAGGTGAGGAACCAACTGAGGACGTTTTTCTCACTTACTAAGAAAATGTAAATGACCCGTGTTGCCACCAATTCACCACCACCTTACACAAGCACTGAGTCTAAATGGACAGAGGTAACCTTCACTGGAGAGGAAGAGACGCTGCGGAGAAGTGGTAGCAAAAACATACTTGGGGATAGTTGTCTCATCCCTACTGCTGTTTTTTTTATTTGCCAACTGTGATTTTTCACGAGGACTACTTCCAGATTAACAAGAGGAATTCTGGGAGGCTATGGCAGTAATTTATTTAAAAAAAACAAAACAAAAGACTCTTGTGACGAGAGAGAAAAGGCTTTTGTTGTTATTTGCCCTGTGGTAAGACTTCACTAAATAGCAAACCTTATTTTTCTGTTAGTTGAAATAATCTCAGTTGGGAAACTGGGAAGCTAAAAAAACAAAACTGTCGCCATCCAGTCGATTCTGAGTCATAGCGATCCTATAGGATAGAGTAGAACTGCCCCATAGGGTTTCCAAGGAGTGGCTGGTGGATTCAAACCACCGGCCTTTTGGTTCGCAGCCAAACTCTAACTGCTGTGCCACAAGGGCTCCACTACTGACCTCTAAAACTCCAGTCACTTCCATGAGAGGGATTAGCTCTGCCTTTACACAGTAAGTCAGCTTCTTGGTGAGCTCTACCAAAAGGGCTCTATAAACCCAAAACTCCTCCAGCTCCTGTATGAAACAAAGAAATATACAAAATTTAAATTTGGTAAGTTATATTTCAAATTTTGTTTGTGTGGAATGGGGCTCAGAGAGGACACCAATTCTGGAACTTGGGTTAAGCCATGATACCAAGTAAAATTATTATGAGGATCATGGGAGAGAGCCTAAGGTATTTGATGGACTGGTTTTAGGATGAGGAGAAAGATTGAAAAACTAAAAAGTAAGTCCATAAGGAGAGTTATATTCATTGTTACCAAAGTATCA